AAAACATCATTATTGTGAAGACAAAGGCTAAAAACTGTTATAAGGAATAAGGAGACATAACAACTAAATGCATCATGTGATCCTGGACTGGATGTAGAAATTTGGATAATGACAAAATGTGATAAGGACCATAGACTAGAAAAAAATATTTTATGGTTAAATTTCCAGATTTTAATAAAAGTAATATGGGTATGTTAAAGGAAATCCTGATTCTTAGGAAATACACACTGAAATATTAAGGGATATGGAGGCATGATACATGCAACCTACTCTCCAATGATTCAGAAAAAAAACATATATGCAGACAGATAGAGATAGAGAATATGATAAAACAAATGTTATTCTTGTAGTTTTTCTGTACATGTGAATTTATATGGAGATGTATTTTTTCGTCTTAGGATTTTTCACTCTCCTTCAGTGTGTGGGGAGAAAAAGATATTAGTTACTACCTGCCTCAAATTTCTCCACAGTCGCTCTTCAGCCAATCAATTTTCACAACTATTCCAACATGTAGGTTATTGTAAAAAGAAATGAGATAGATCCTAATAGATATAACCTTCCAACAAGATTGTTACAATTATACCTACCCTTACACTGTGGTACACAGCAACTCCTTTAATGAATACAAAACAGTTGTAATACTTTTGGTTGTCTGTGGTGTTTTCAAAACACTTGTGATCAAGTAGTTTTGTTCAGTGGCCTGACACGGAGGAATGATATTACTATATCCAAATACAATGAACTGTGATCCTCCAAATATTTCTAGGAAGGGAATGGGAAGTTTTGAAAATTACTCACAATGTGTAACACCACCACCAAAATTTACTGTCATCAGTTTACTCATAAGGGCAAATGAATTTTGCTAGAAAGGGGGGATGTCCATATTCTAAAGTAGTAATTACAACAGCTTGCTCTAAAGAGGCAAGCAGCTTGTACTTATGAACCAACCATAGAAATGAGCTGCCCTCTTTTGTTCTGTGCTCCAACAGGCTTTTTTTTCTTATGTGCAACACTAGTGCAGAATTCCAGACCTGAGAGGCGCAAAGAAATTACACTATAGACCTATGGGCTAGTCCTTTATGAACCAACCATAGAAATGAGCTGCCCTCTTTTGTTCTGTGCTCCAACAGGCTTTTTTTTTCTTATGTGCAACACTAGTGCAGAATTCCAGACCTGAGAGGCGCAAAGAAATTACACTATAGACCTATGGGCTAGTCCTTTATACTCTTTCAGAACTAAATGTTCTTTGTTATGCTCCCATGACTACACCTAATTCCTAAGAGCCATTTTCTTCTCTGAAGAATATTCTGTTTTGGGATAAATGCCTATAAATCTTTTCTTTATCAGAAATTGTTAACCAGATCATTCCTGTTGCCAGATCTTAAAATCAGAGAATTTAATCAAAAACAGATATGGTTCTTAATAACAGAATTGCATTGGAAGTATTTGTTTACTAAAGCATAATAAAATGTGGTGTGTGTGAACATGAACTCTTCTGCCCAAGTTGAATGCTCCTTAAATAAATTAGAGGCTTATGCTAATCAGGTCGGAAAGAACAATCCTAATATTTTCCCTTTTTTGAGATTTATGAGTATGTGATAATGGTTCTTAATGGGGGTTCAAAATTTATTGATGCATTTAATTTGCCTCTTGGTGGCATACCCTTAGTCAAGAACTAGGTCTCCAGAGTCTTAAATGCTGTTAAGCAGCTAATATTTAGACAGATGGTTATATAAATAATAATTCTATAAAACAGCAAGAAAGTCAACGGAGAAATGATTGAAACAAAACCAAACTTGAAGCTTAGATTTCTTTAGTACATAATGATTTGAAGGAAGAATATCAACATAAAGTCACTGATGTAGATCTAGAATTCTATTATGATGTTGCTAGGACAAAGTCTCAGAGAATTAAATTAGGGGATGTTATCAAACCCAGTGATGGGCCCTCTTCAAGATCTTAACTCATAAAGCAAAGAAATGGATTCACAGCCCAAATAAAACATTAAAAATTCCTCAATCAGACAAAAATTTATTTCTGCATAGTTAATAGTTTCCATTTTGAACCTTGAATTAACCAGCAAACTACTCTTCTTCCAATTCTAACCAGTTCCCCACTTCACAATCCAGGCCTTAAAATCACCCAACCCAATTCATCCCTTCTTAACTTCCTAAAATTGAGAGATTAAGTTTTGACTTTGTTTTTTTTTCTCCTTTGCTACTCCAAGCTAAATAAACCTGGCTTTGTGGAACTACAAGCTTGTCTCTAATCTTCTGTTGGTGGGCTTGAAAGTATTTTCTTATAAACACAGTCCAGCTACACAGAAAAAAAAACAACAACCCACTATTAATATTTAAGTAGGTTCGGGCATGTTTTGCTTAGAGATTTAGCATGGTTCTAATCATATCTCTTGCATTTTTGAAAAATATGCTTTTAGAAATGTTAGGTAAACATTTTCAATGGAGATAAATCACTCTAGTGTCATCTTGGTAGAGTACATACCAAAATTTAACCATTCCATTCCCGAATCATTAGACATTTAGATGTTTTCCAATTTCTGCTATTATAAACCTGTGATATATCCTTAGGATAAATCCCTGCAATTACAATTGCTGAATTGAATGGTAGAGCATTTTTTGGCTCTAGCCACATACTGCTTACTTGTTTTCCAAGAGTTTTACCCATGAATTCCTGCCTTTAACTGATTAAATGTTCACTGAAGTCTTTCCAGCACATTAGGGGAATCTTTTGAATACTCGTACAAGTTTTGACTACATATTTAAAAGTTTTGAAAATAATTTACATATAGTTCTTGAGGAATTCACCTGGCAGGTCTCTTGTTCTCAATTGGCCTGTACAAGTCTCAAACATATTAGGTAGAAAAGCAATTGAAGTCATAAAGCACTTGGTGGAAAAGCAGAAGTATCAAATATTAAATAAGTATTATACAAGCATGGGCAATTAGATGGTAGTTTTGCATACAGATGGGCAAAAACAGGCATTTAAGACAAACGAATTCTTTTCAAAAACTTTATTGACAACTGTTCGTGTAAAAAAAGGCTTTCTGGGCAAGGCCTTATCTAAGAAAAGAATAAAACGCATAGGTGAATGAGTGATCTGTTTTATAGTCTGTAGTCTGCTGTATATGTGTGAAAACTGAAAAATAAGGTCAACTATTATTCTACTTTAGTAGGGTATATCTGAGATTTTTTTTTTTTTTATTACATTTTAATATCCCTAGTCAAGGGTTTACTGGTAGTTAGCTAGGCTTCGGCTACCTTCTTACAGAACCCTGGACTCTAGCTTCGCCAGCTTTCTTCAGGCCAAACTGGACGCCGGAGCTCTGGTGTCCCACCCTCAATTTTCTTCCTCAGGTTTCCTCGTATTAATATCTCCTGGGGCTGTGACACTGAAGCTGGGGAAGAGATGGGTAATATAAGGTCACCTCAGATTCTTTGCACGATCTTAGAATTCAGCTAAACATCCACACACACGCCCTTCCCCCTCCTTAAAAAAAGAAAAAAGAAAACTAAAATTATTTCCCACCAACCGCCTATAGTGCTAGGACAAAAATCAGTGAGCTTCATTTCCACAACCAAACCCAAACCAACTCAAGACCCCCTCCACGTCCTCCTGTATCTTCCCTGCGCTTCTCTACACAAGGGGACCAAGCCTACCCACAGCCCCGCCCATCTGCAGATGGCGACGGCTTGCCGAAACGCAAGCGCCCTTCCTCTGGAGCCTTTACCCCTTCTTTCCCACCCACCCGAGGGGGCGGTCTCGAGGCCGACCGGAACTACAATTCCCAGCATCCTACACGGCGCGGGGAAGGAAGGCCGGGAGTGAGCGAAAGAGGCTCGAGGGAATAACGGGCCAGTGAGAGCCTCTCCTCCTTTGAAGCGGATTTGCGTCTCTCTCCGCCGGCGGCGTCGGCGCTCACGCAGGGGCGGGTCGTAGCGGCGCGGGGAGGTGCAGGGCGGGAAGGGAAGTCGTGGCGGTGGCGGC